TTGACAACAGTGGCTGAGTGACCTCATTCCTTCTTGGTGTACGGGACACAATTGATTTGATAAAGAACAAAACCCCACAACAACAAAATAAWSAWMARMAMRAGGCAGCCATATATATTTTATTATTCCGTTATTACTCCGGGGGCAAASTCTTTGAAATAGACAATGTACACCGACGCCATTTTRTGSATCATCATGTCCGCTAAAATAGTCTTYATAAGCAATCTTTGCTTTTTTCGGAAGGAGGAAAAGAAGTAATTGTGCCGTAGGTATAAAGGAAATGTAAAAAGGGATATCAGGGAGACATTTTAGGGCCGATGAAAATTCCGAGGTCTACTCATGCTTTAGTGTACAAAATGCCATCATTGCACAGTGCCTATTTTGTAGGACAGACAACGCAGGAATCCCGGTTCATTAAAATTACCCATCAACATATTTGTCCTATTCGGCTCTGATTCACCTGCAGTCCTGTAAATTATTAAAAGACCCCGAGCGTCAAGCCATTTTTGGCTGTTGTTATGTTAAATACTTGAAAATGTTTCATAATAATCTTTCACAATAATATTGATGGAATTGTGATCTTCAACAACATCCTCTCCCAGCTCAGTCTTCGATATACTTTGTGTTATTTAACAAAACCTGCGTCCTCGTACTCMTTGTCTTAAACATACAGATACGAATCTCAACTCATATAAGCGCATGGCCCTCATTTGATCTAGATTCTTCTTTGAAAGATTAAGATTTCCTGGACAGTGTTTCCAGCATAAATGGTCTAGGTTTCAAATCAAGAAACGTATGTACAAAAAGATAGAYTTGGGAATGCTCTGTACGCGAAATCGAGTTTGCGATTGGTTTGYGAACATTTTTGACGTTAGCTCATGATTTTGGAAATGACTCAATTACTTTAATGTGTCTGTCATTTTGGGACCATAGCTAATCCCAAGATAAAAAAAGAAGACTGGCGCAACTAGCTAGGTAAACAATCTCATTGCGATACATGGACGTATTGAGTACATTCCCTTTAAAAAGCGATTATTATATGACTTATTTTCATTAACATGCCACAAAAGTTACGATGCTATCGCTAAATTGTGGTACGCCGCCTGCATTTATYGACCTTCGCAATGTCACATGGTTTATCAGACTAATGTCTAGTTCGAGAAGAATTTGAGCTAAAATTCCAGTCTCCCATGTAGAATCTTGTAGTTCTCGATCTCTCGTGGCATGAGGTAATGTTGTGTTGAAAAGACTCATTGTCATGGTAACATGAAAATATCATTGGAATTCAATCCAAGAATTAGTCGATTAGTGCTTAATTATTTATCACTGAACAAATACGACTTTCCAAAGCGGCTTGCTTTGAATTATTCCTCCGCAATTTCATACTAAAATGTTATTGAAGTGAAGTTCAGAGATTTTTTTGTTCTGAACATTATGCAACAAGTGCTAATGAAGCCCACTCTAGTGGTAATGGCCGTGTTGAGTATGTACCAATTATCAGGGGCCAAAGCATGTACAAATCTTCCTGCAAACCAGACTACCTTTGATGTACATTATTGGAACTTTTATCCTTATACTATAGGCAATCTATCAAACCCTCACAATGGTAAGAATGGCATAAACATCATCTACTTAGCGACTGAATACTTTTATGATTAATATCAATTTATTTGACATGTCAATAATCTGAATATCGGACTTCTACTTACTAGAAGGACAAACATCGAGTRTAATCCAAAATCTGTTTGAATTCACTACTGCTATGTTAATTCCCCATTCTTTACTAGTCGCTTCTACTCAGARCACCTGGCCATGAAATGGTTTGCAATTCTTCAAAATATATGAAACCTTTATTTGATGCAAAACTATGTATAATTGTATCAATATGTTGGACTGATGCGATTCCATGAAACAGCTGAAAAGTGAACAATCATCGAAACATGTCAAACAGAYCATTTTTATACGTTTGATAGCAATATATATATATAATATGTTAGTATTATACGTTATCAACTAAGGCCTTTAATATTAGTTTAGACAATAGGCATTTGAAACATGTTGAGACTAGCTTGGGTACCAGTCATGTTTTTGTTTGCGCAATGAATGAAGCAAAATATTAAACACGAAATCGACYATTGATKGAAATGSAAAACAACTCAAAGCTATTTATATGTAAGAATATTGACGTGTTTYCCCAAAAATGCCGTAAAAACAAACTGCTTAGTGTCAAAATAAATGTAAAAAAACTTGTCAATGTTTTTCCACATTAATACCGTAAAATGGCCGCCGTTGCCATCTGAAATGAATACAAATTAATTCTCATCAATATRAAAGTACTCATAGTTTTAATGTAGGTGGGATTTGTGTTCAATAATCTTTATAAAATTCTGAGCTTTTATGAAGGGTTCAAATGGTAAATACCAGTGCAACTAGAAGAGGAGTTAAATGTATGTTCCAATGTATCAGAATGGGCTAGCTTTTATTTGCTTGCRAGTGGAACATTGATGTTTTGAAGTATTTTACTTAATTTTAGACGATGAKTCATCCCAAACCACCGACGTAACAAATGGAAAGAAGATAGCGCATGGARCTAATAATTTTGCCAGATAATCCTTCTCAACGCAATCGTTAGAACGCCTAGTGACATGTAGCACTTTAAAAACTGAAATATAGATTCATGTCTGATTTGTTTAGCTCGTTTAACGAAACCTTTCTCAGTAATATACTCAACAAAGACGATATATACAATAAAAATAATTACAATCATCATAAATGTATTCAGCTACTAATGTGAAGAGCATCCAGCGATTGACTCCAATAAAATATTTTTGTTCGCAGGTGTGTTCAATTTACTAATTCACAACTTATCAAATCGCTCAAATATGACGTTGAGACAAGTGAAAAAGCACATGTATCAAGAAATCATAGGGTTACCCAGCAGTGGGCCAAAAAATCAGATTGCAGTACCTATTCTAATTGATATGGAAGATAAGAATCCTTGTTTGGTTAAAGTCTTTAAATCATCAGGATACGCCTACGTGGTAAGCAAAATTTATTACGCGCGTACCACCTAGAAATTATATAAACATCGATGTAAAATAACRACTGTATTCATACATTTGGTCTAAAACAAATATTTCATATCAATACATGYTGGTCGGTTTCCTCAGGCTCTCAGAACCTCTCAGGGTAGGGAAGGRGTCCAGGAAGGAGAAAGAAGAAGAGATGATTTTGATAGAACATGAATACCCATCTGGGTGACRAAAGTCTGAATCTACCACATAAGAACAATTCATGCGTTATTAATTTAGCATCTACTTTATAGTATAAATATCATAAATATTCAATGATTAAAAAGGTTCGAAGAGATGTCAAGAAACCACTACATCAACTCGCTGGCTCGTTCRTAAATGGTGGTCAAGTGATTGGACTTACTCTTATATTGACGGGTATAGCAGGAATTTGCATGTGGCTTTTGGTAAGTTTATATCTTGCTTTGTAAACCACAATAGCTCGAGCTCGATGGCATCGCTATTGCTCCAMTCAAACACAAATTTGTTTTGGTCAGACAAAATTCCCAGTCGTATCTAAGACTTCCCTTATAGGTGCCGAACATATTCAGCGAACACTAGTATTAAAGGACTAGCAAACGGTATAGGCTTGATAAGATGTTTAATGCAGTTGAAACTCTGGAAAACTCTTTTCCTTCTGGCACTAAATTACATTTGCGCCCGTTTTTATACGGATTTGTCTCATAATTGCATTACGTCAAAAACGTCAAAATTATCTGATATTAACTGAGAATAGGATTAGAGGTGTTGCCTCATAATTAACGATAAGAAAATCAATAAAATATCATTCCTAAAAGACTTTCACAGAAATCGGTTTCACGACAATTAAAGTACGATATATAAGGCAACGCATGGTTGTCAAAAGGTCAACAGGTACATCGGTTTATATGACTTAGACCGATATTTAAATACGCGATTAACTTAATAAACATCGGGGGGTTAAGAGTCGTACACGCCATAACCTAACACGAGGTTACACAACTTTGACCGTAGGTGTACGTGCTCAAGAGACAATCATATGACTGACCTGTTGTATCTTGCCTTTGAAAATAACGCGGGCTTGTATATCGTACAAAATACATGCGCAAACCTTTGTTAATAATTATTGAGTAATTTCCGTAATAAAAACATTGAAAAAGATATAAAAATATATGTTGAAATTTCTGTCCCTTAACACTAGTACTCGTGTTTTATTAAAGACCCACGTTCATCCAAGAACCATTGCGCGATTTTCTCATAAATTGGCTACATTTAATTTTGAAACATTCAGAAATCACCTTTCAACAAGATATCATTTGTAAAGCGATCGACAAGGTTCATGGATGCACGTTATCCTTTAAAGCAATACTGGTTAGAGGAAACTATCGGTATGTGTATATTATTACAACAATTAAAAATCACCGCTTTCTTATTACAGGATCGACGCAAGAATCCCGATAATTTTCCAGCTCCATTCATCAGTGGATCATGGCAGGGATTTTGGTGGGCATTCGTTACCATGACGACCGTTGGGTAAGAAAAAAACTTGAAGATCTAATCAGTTTTCTTAACCCTGTATCAGACCCATAAATGTCATTTTCATGAGCAAGAATTGATAAATAATTGAATTTTCCTGCGTAATAATGACAGATCTAATATGGGAAAATGACAGACTTGATCTATCTGAACAATAAATTGATTTTCTCCTGACCAATTTTATATTCATCCGCAAGCAATTACATGTCGTGTCAGGGTACGTATCGGATAATACAGTTGTCATGGGCATAGTTTGTTCCTGGTTCATCTTGGCTGCCGATAATGTAGCAGGAATACCTGCACTTCTGGCTGTTGACCACGAAGGGTGAATGAAGATGCTACGTGACATTTGTGTCTGCCAAATCTCAGCGAGCCCGCGGCAGGTCTGCTGAATATATGGCTCCAGTCACAATGTGTGTAGGCAGCCCACCTTCAATGCACTAACCAATGGAAGTAGGAATTCAGCTAATTCACGCTTCAAAAGGATCAATCTGTCATCAATTCATTCACCAACAACACGCCACTAGGATTCCTACCTGCTGCAGATTGCACGTCTAAATGTTCGGTACAGATGCTGTACTACCTCTAAAACKGCAGTTTTCGCAAGCTTCGCTAGATAAGCCTCATGCGAATAGACATCGTATTTCGGGTCCTGGAACGCCCGAGAGTTTGTCTTTTGCAAGTTTTTTTTYCAGGTGTAGGATTTCCTGGGAACGACCACCTGCATTAGGCTTTGCACATCTRGCAGCCTTTGTTGGAAATGCTGCTTTAGTTCCACTAAAATCTTCTGGTAATGTTGCAATTGCAATAGTTTGTTCTAGCACCTGTACCATGGAAACAACATCGAATGGAATGCATGATCTGTTTCGTTGCTGTCTGTTAGCTTGCATTTATTGGGTCGCACGTGATCCAGAAGGTAAAGCTGGAGGGGCAGATGTAGCATGTAGAAGAATTTGGTTCAATCATTCTTCCAGTTAGGGCATGTCCCTCGAAGTCATGCATTTGGCTAGCAAGAATGGGCATAGAACGTGGCTAGCGCTCAGCTTCTAGGAAGTAAACCTCTGGAATCTCAGCTCCATAAAGCATGTTTATCATTATTGCTTTTCGACACCCGCAACAGCAAAGACAATTACGGCCTATCCTATTCTTTTGTTTTGTKGCCCTTAGGGAATAGAAAGGCAGCCTCTTTAAGAGGGTCAGCTCTCTTCACACGACACAACGAGAACGTGGAACACATYGTGTCCACTGAGGTTACGTTAAGTGTATAGAATTTTGTCGTGGAATATATTTTTATCAGCGCCGTGATTGATTTGATACATTCATATCTTTTCCCATCATTTATTCTTAATATTTTTATCATTGCTGAGAAAATTTATCATTCAGATTGCATTCGCCGATTGTACTCTTAGAATATATAAGGTGGAAGGTCACTTCGCATTTTAGAAACAACAAGTATATTTTACAAACAAACAAGCACTCATCACCCATCTCCACCCGCATAGTATGGTGAAAAATTGCACGAGCATCCGAACCGGTCAAAACCGTTCCGTCAACTACCGTATTGCATATGCAGTTATAATTACTTTGCGATTACTTTCGGACGTACCCCCCACAAGCTTAGCTTAAAAGGTCCGGTGTTTCTCTTTTTGATTGTTCTATTTTAATATTCTTTTGTTATGAACTGTTTGTGAGATAGTATTGTTATGAATTGCTCATTCTAGCAGCCAGTTATTACACACTATACCTGTGCATTGAACTAATGTGTAGTTGAACATTTAATGTAGGTCTGCATTATAAACCAACGAGCCCCCCATTTCTAAGGCAGTCTAGAAATTACGGTACGGTGTATAAATTGACCAGAAAATCAAAGTTCTCCATTTTTCGAAATATATAGAGAATAATATTCGTTATAAGCAAGAGTAAATCTTACTTTTGCAACCAAAGAAAATTKTGGCGKTCTAGTGCATATTTACAACTAATTTTGTTAAAATAACCAAGATTCCGACAAAATATCACTGTCAGAATATGGCTAATAATTTAAACCTGTATAGCACATAGACTATTCATTACAAGAAACTGTAGACTTGCTTACCTGTTTCTTTCTTTCAAAAATCAAGGCCGTTTTAGTGGATTCCAGATAACAAACCACCATGATTT